CCAGAAACAGAGGAAACAGCTGGCTAAATTGGTGTTGGACTGGGACTCAGTCCGAGCCAGGTGGAACCAAGCTCACAAATCTTCAGGAACCAACTTTCAGGGGCTCCCATCAAAAATAGATACCTTAAAGGAAGAGATGGATGAAACTGGAAATAAAGTAGAACAGTGCAAGGATCAACTTGCAGCAGACATGTACAACTTCATGGCCAAGGAAGGGGAGTTCCGCAAATTCTTTGTTACGTTATTAGAAGCCCAAGCAGATTACCATAGAAAAGCATTAGCAGTCTTAGAAAAGGCCCTTCCCGAAATGCGAGCCCATCAAGATAAGTGGGCAGAAAAACCAGCCTTTGGGACGCCTTTGGAAGAGCACCTGAAGCGGAGTGGGCGTGAGATCGCGGCTTCCCATCGAAGCCTGTGTCATGCTGCTCCTGGAGATGGGCATGAAGGAGGAGGGCCTTTTCCGAATCGGGGCTGGAGCCTCCAAGTTAAAGAAGCTGAAAGCCGCTTTGGATTGTTCTACTTCTCACCTGGACGAGTTCTACTCAGACCCCCATGCTGTAGCAGGTGCTTTGAAGTCCTACCTACGGGAATTGCCTGAACCTCTGACGACTTTTAATCTGTATGAGGAGTGGACACAAGTGGCAAGTGTGCAGGATCAGGACAAAAAACTTCAAGATTTATGGAGAACATGTCAGAAGTTGCCACCACAGAATTTTGTTAATTTTAGGTATTTAATCAAGTTCCTTGCAAAGCTCGCTCAGACTAGTGACATTAATAAAATGACTCCTAGCAACATTGCAATCGTGTTAGGCCCTAATTTGTTATGGGCCAAAAATGAAGGAACACTGGCTGAAATGGCAGCGGCCACATCCGTCCATGCACGCAGACTGGTTCTTCCCTGAAGAGGTGGAGTTTAATGTATCAGAAGTGTTCGTGCCTCTCGCCACCCCAAATTCCGATTACTCATCTGACACTGGAAACGACTCTGACTCGGAGACTCTGGAGAGGTAGCAGCTGGCCAGCATGGCGGTGATGGAAAGGGACTTGGTGAAGAAGGAGAGCTTTGGTGTGAAGCTTATGGACTTCCAGGCCCTCCGGTGGGGTGGCACTCTAAATAGAAAGCACATATCCCCCGCTTTCCAGCCACCGCTCCCGCCCATGGATGGTAGCGCCTCCGCTCCAGCAAGGCCCAGAGCCCCCTTCCCAGAGCTCTAGGGCTGAAAGCAGCTCAGGGGGTGGGACAGCCCCCTCCCCTGCGAGCATACTGGAGCAGGGGCTGAGCCCAGGTGACAGCAGTTCTCCAAAACCCAAGGATTCTGTATCTGCAGCTGTCTCTGCACCAAGGAGAAATAGCAGTCAAATGACCAGTGGCCAAAGCCAGGCCCAGGAAGGTGCCAGCTTCCATTAGCTCCCTGTCGGCCCAGCTCACAACGCTGCTGGTCCCAGCCCTCACACGCTGCGCCGGGCAGTTAAAAAACCTGCTCCAGGGCCCCCAAACCCGGGAAAACCGCCTCCTGGCCATTACGGGGACCCGAGTGCTCCAGGAGCGTTTCAGCTTCCACCCAGCCTGTCACCAAAGCCATCTGCTCGAAGTCCATCTCCTCCCCCACAGCACACAGGCCCAGCCCCAGGCCAGCCCTCGGCCACCTCCCAGCTCTCTGCACCCTGAGGTACTCCAGCAGCCTGTCTCCAATACAAGCACCCAGCCACCCGCTGCCACAGCCACCCACCCAGGCCATGCTGCAGGGGCACAGCAAACAGAGCGGCTAGGGCCCACCCACCTCCATGACACTGCCCAGTGAGCACGGACTCGAGCAGCCTCCCCACACCTCTCCTCAGACGCCAACACCCCCCAGTACTCCACCCTTAGGAAAGCAGAACTCCAACCTGCCAGCTGCTCAGACCCAGGTGGTGAGTAACCCTAAGGCTGCGCAGACACATGCTGGAACCCTGCCGAGACTCAGGCCAGTACCAAAGCCGAGGAACTGACCCAGCATGCCCCCGCCCCCCCATCCTCCTGGTGCCCACTCTTCCGGGGACAGCAGCCTTAGCAGCGCAGCACCAACAGCTTCCAAAATAGTGACAGACACCAATCCTAGGGCTTCAGAACCGCTTCGCAGCATCTTTTCTGAAATGCACTCAGACTCGGCAAACAAAGACCTGCCCGGCCACATTCTGCTGGATACAGACACTGACAGGGAAAGTATCGCCTTGCGAAGAAAGCTGTTCCCAGCCGTCCCTCCCACCCTGTGGGCCGGAACTAGGCTAGGCAGACCAGACAGTGAATAGCTTTCAGTGGAGGAGAAAGGTCCTCCCACGCAGGACCTGGCCTTTTGCACAGCCCAAGGAGAGCGTGGAGGCCCACACTTCAAAGCTGCATGACCTGGGTCTTGAAGAAGTTGGCTTTCTTTACCTGGGAGGGCAACCATGGCAAAAAGTCAAAAGCAAAGAAGAACCAGGAGAGGACCAGCCTTCCTGCTGAGCAGTGCATAGGAAGCTTTGGCCACTTCTGTGAACGCAGGTGGCACCCACAGCAGCTCGGAGCAAACGAGAAGCTACGCGCTGTCTATTTAATAAAACTCTCAGCCACAGGTCAGTGCTGCTTGCTACTGGGGCGCTCACCCTCATGTACCAGGAGGGAGCCCCTCCTGCAGACTTGCTGCAGAACCGTTTTGTATTAAGTCTGGTCTGTGTCTTCCCAGTCCCCTCAGAACCGTGAGCATCGATGGTGACTGCTGGATCTGTCACCTCATCAAACTGGACGTGACTTGTGCCTTGTCAGATTGCCAGAATGTAGAGAAATGTACTGTCTTTTTTTTTTTTTTAACAATATAATTGCTCCTTGATACGGACTGAACATTATTCTAGTTTCATGTTTAATTTGAATTAAATATATTCTGTGGTTTAAAACCAAAAATAAAAAAATAAAATAAAAAATAAAAAAAAAACTTTTATTACAGTGTATTTTTACATACTTATATACTGTAATAAATTGTTCTATTTTTGGTTATTGTTGTTTTCTTAGGGTGACTAATGTATGAATCATACTTTCTCATGGGTACTTATGTGCAGGAAAGAACTCGGGATTGTTACTATCTGTGGTTTCAAGCATCCACTGAGGTCTTAAAGTGTCCCCTGAGGATACAGGACAGGGGCTGCTTTATTGGGATATGCCACCTCGGAAATTGTTGACAATAGGAAACCAAAGAGTTCATCCCTTGAATTCTCAAGTTTCTATCCATTTACTTAAAGAATTCACATGGATGTATCAATATTGTACCAGAGACATTGTGCAGGAAGACTGTGGAGGAAAGCCAGGTTTGGCTCCATAAAAACAAGCAAGAAGGAAGAGAATTCCACTGTGGGGTGGGGGGGAAGCCTAAATTATTTGAAGCATTTTCTTTGTGCTGGAGGCTACTTAGCGGCCTGGTGTGCTGGGACTACTGTGGGCACATATTGTATCACTGATCCAAATCAACAGCCCTGTGCAGCACTGACCCATCAACCATGAAGAAACAGACTAGGAGAAGGCCCCCAGCCTTTCCACCATTTCCTACGGGGTTACTCCCAACCTCTTGGAGGCAAGGGGAGGGCAACTAGGACTTCTGACTCCAAAACATTTGCTTTTTGCTAATGGCCCCTAAAATGGTAAGTAAATTTCATGTAAATTTTTTCTAATGGAGCAAAGTGAGCAAGGACTTGAGGGGAACACCCAAAGCACAGTGGGAGCAGATGTCAGTCCTTGCAGGTAGCTTTCCTCCCAGGGGCGCTCCCTGTGGTGTGCCCTTGGGTTCCCCACCAGTTCTCCCTGCAGACCTGGGCGTTCTGAAGTCAAAGGTGGCTTTCTGGGGCAGCTGATGAAGTCTGTGCCTCCTGCAAGGACAGACAGCTTCCCCATCTGGAAAGAAGGGCACTTCCTGGCTCTCCACCTGGTTTGCTCTGACCCCTCCCCCACTGCACCAGCTTCTGCAACTTTTTCCATGCTGCCCTAGTCAGAGGGATCCAGGGCCCTTCTAAGGTCTTGTTTCAGAAATCACAATGCACAAAAAGAGCTTGTGATGAGGCGGCTCCTGCGTTGCGTTTTGCTAATGGCCCCTCACCTCCAAGGAAGTGGGGCCCCAAGAGTAGACAGGGCAGTGCCCTTGGGGGAGCCATCAATGCTGACAGATCCCAGCGCCTAGGAGCTGCTAGAGATGCGAATTGTAGGTATCCTACCTGAAGCCTGTGAGAGTGGGACCCAGGAATCTTTGTTGAACAATTTCCTTGGTGGCTTTTCAGGCATGCTAAAGTTTAGGGGACCAAGGCATCTCCCCAAGGGGCTGGGCCATAGAAAGCACCTAGGATCTCCTAAATCCTCCACCCAGGCAGGGAGAGGCTGCGAATCCTCCCCTACTAAAAAATGAAGTTGCAGGGGTTGGGGGGTGGGAATGGGGGTGGTGGTGGGGGGTGACTTAATGGGGCCCCTTGGCTTTCTCAGTGACTCCATCCTTCCCACGTAAAGGCTGAGTAACCCTTCTTAATACAGCAGCTTTTAAAGGACACCTCATATCCAAACCATGACTGGGACACATGCCTTTGACCCATGTCCACTTCTCTCCAGCTTCTCAAAGAGATTATAGCTTCCACCCTCAGTGGATTATAGAGACTGGACTCTGCTAAGGTCCTCTGACAAGACTGGTTTTAGGTGGGGTAATAGCAACTCATCACCTTGAACTAGGGAGAGCAGGGAGGTAGGCCTGGAGAGGTGCCCCCAGGGAAGGTCTTGCCAAGAGGCAGTTGGCAGGCTTGCATAATGTTGCAATGTGGCCTGAGGTCGTTTTCATTTCCAGAAGGCTGTTGAGAGGACCAAGTTCCCCAGGATGAATTAACAAGAAAGAGGGACACTATCAGAGGACTCAGTAGCACCAGGTGGGAAAGACTGGCTTGCACTTGAGTGACCTTGGGAAGCTTGGCACCCTGGGCAACTTGACTGGAGGCTGATGATTTGCACTCCACAGAGGAGTAAAGCTTCTCTTGGGTCAGGGATATTTCTGTACTGACAAGGGTAGCAAGACTGGCCATGCAGGCAGATGAGGAGTTGAGGCCCTTGGTTCTCAGAGAGGACATGAGGCCAGGCTCTGCCTGCAGCAGGACTCACGAAATCTCTAGTCCAGGAAAAGCAAAACCCAGCAGGAAAGCCAGATTCACCAGCAAATAGGATCCAGTTTTCCAGCTTCATCTACCCAGCGACCTCCAAGATGCCCCATATCTCAGGTGCAGAAACCAAGGCCTCGGGGCCAGCACCTTCATATCTAGCTGACAGAGACCTCAAGTGAGCCCTAAAAGACTCGAAGGCCAACATCAGATTGCATTCAAGTTCAAGCTCTCCAAGCATCAGGACACTACCCAGGTGCACCAACAGTGCTTCTTCCCCCATCACTGTATCTAATAACAAAAATAAACAAACAGAAAATCACTTTCTGGGTTGGGGGAGATCTAGTTTTGATTTATTATTTAAGGCTGCTCTCTAGAGTGAGCACCAAACACAGAAAAATGGAATCTGAAGCCAGAGCCACCTGTAAATCAGCCACTAGGGGGCAGGCATGTTCCAGTGTGTCCCATCTCCCCCAAGCAATTTTCCACTGCTGGGTTCTAGAGCCAGATTTCATTGTGCCCAGTAGAGGGAACGGTCAGCTCGTGGGTGGACTCTGCCTCAGGTCTGGGTTGTCCATTCGCCCTTAGCTCGTTTATTTTTCTGTCCTTTCTTCTCTTCCTTCTCCTCCTTATTGTCTTTTTGCCATCCTTTCTCCTCCTCCTTCTTCATCTCCTTCTTTCTTCATACTGGGCATTGAACTCAGGGTGCTTAAACACTGAGCCACATCCCCAGCTCTTTTCATTTTTTATTGAGGCAGGTACTCACTAAGATGCTTAGGGCCATGTTAAGTTGCTGAGCCTGGCTTTGAACTCACTATCTTTCTGCCAGAGCCTCTCAAGCCACTGGGATTACAGACACTTGCCACCACGTTTGGCTCTCAGACACATTTTATTTTGAGACAGGATCTCACTAAGTTTTCCAGACTACACTCAACCTCATAAAATCCTCCTGCTCAGCCTCTTGAATAGCTGGATTATAGATAGGTACCACCATGCTCAGTTTAAATGTAAGCAATGCTAAAAGCCACATATAGTATTTGAGAGCATTTGGAAATAAGAGATGGAAAATGCTAATTCTGACATGAGGCTCGATTGTCATGTGTATCTTGTACACATTACAGTGTGCCACTGTGGAGTGAAATCCAGGGAAAGAAATAAATCAGAAGAGTCCAGCCTATTAAAAATATTGTGTAGTACCAGGTTTGGTGACCTGCCCCTGTAATCCCAGCTACTTGGGTAGTTCAAGATGCCCTCTTCCTAGCACCTCCCTCAGCCCTGTTTTGTCAGATTTTGACATGGAGTGGTGTCATTTTTATGGAAAACTTTCACCATTAGCTCCACCTGTAAGTGCACAGGAGTTCATGGATGATAGACATCCTCAGAAAGGACACAACAAGTTTCCTTGAGTTGTCTGAAACTGATGGCAACAGTTTGGAGTGCTTGTGGTTGTAGGAAAGTGTTTAAAACCCTTTAAAGCCAGGAAGGCAAGCATGGGGACTATAAAAGGAATAGTCACCAATGACGGAGAGATAGGTATGCTCATCCTGCTTGCTTGCCTTATTATTTATTTATTTTTAGTATTGAAGATTGAACCCAGGGGCACTATATAAGGGTTAGTAAAAGGTCGGTCTCCCCTGTGTCAATCCAATAACCAGGACACAGGTTTAAGAAAAAGGAAAAAGAATGTTTGTTACTTTGCTAGCAAAGGAGGAACCCAGGGGACTCCTGTCCCAAAGGCTGTGATTCTGCCCATCACAGGAACAGGTTGTTTTTAAAGAGGTGTTTCAGAGAAAATGAGATTCGAGAGGAGAAACCAGGAAGGAGAAGATCAGGGAAAGGAAGTTCAGGGAGGAGAAGGTTAGGGAGAAGGTTTGGGGGAAAAATGTAAATTTCAAAGCCACAGGGGATATAGTGAGAAACTGATGTGACTCTATTTTTGAGAAACCAGCTTCTACCTCAGAGCAAACCCTGTCCAAGGAAGGGGGCATGACCCTCGTCATTGGAAAAACCCACAGAGAACTCCTAGGCACATACCCACACTGCTGAGTTGTTTATGTACAAATAACAGGAGAGATCTGAGGCACCAGGTATCCCTGACTCAGTTAGCCTAGGTGAGGACCCACAGCAACCCCCTAGCAACCACCAATCAGCATGAGACAGAAAAATTACCTGGGATGCCAGATGACTCTCCCAGTAGTTTATAGTGGTGGATAACAATGTGTTGGGAAACCATGTAGTTCAGCAGTACTCCCCTTGTGGCTTAAAGCAATCAGTTCAAAGGAATCCCCTTCTTGTAGTAACCAATCACCCCTACCCAACTTGTTCCCACCAGTGAATGTGGTAATTATGTTTTAGAGTTGTTTTATGATTTTCCCGTGGTGTGTGATGATTTGCTAAAAGATCCTATGATGTATGTGAAGTCCCTGCCTTCCCCAAAGAGTGTATAAAACTGCTCAAAGCCCAGACTCAGGGCCTCTCGGTGTTACCAATTGCTATGTACACAGAGAACCCAGCTAGCTCGCAATAAACGCCTCTTTGCTGCTTACATCGATCTCAGTCTCTGGTGGTCTTTTGGGGGTCCCGAACTGGAGCATAACAATAATAAAAGAGCGAAGCCCTGTTACACATTTCCAACCCCCTCTTTTTTGGAGGAACTGGGGATTGAATGCAGGACTGTTTGATCACTGAGCACATCCCCAGTCCTTTATGTTTTTTATTATGAGACAAAGTCTCACTAACTTGCCCAAGCTGTCCTTAAATTGCAATCCTCCTGCCCCAAATCTTGAGTTGGTGGAATTACAGGTGTGTGCCAATGTGTCCACTACAACCACTTTTTTAAACACCCACCACCAAATTTTATTCAGTAAAAGAATATAACACGTCACTTTTTTTAAGAGAGAGAGAGAGAGAGAGAGAGAGAGAGAGAATTTTTGAATATTTATTTTTTAGTTTTTGGTGACAAAAACATCTTTATTTTATTTTTATGTGATGCTGAGGACCAAACCCAGAGCCCCGCATATGCCAGGTGAGCATGCTACCTCTTGAGCCACATCCCCAGCTCACAAGTCACTTTTTCCTTTCTTTTTTTTTCTTTTTTTCTTTTTTTTTTTTGGTACCAGGGGTGAACCCAGGGACAGTTAACCAATGAACCATATTTCTAGTCTTTTTCAATTTAGTAAATACAACCTAATGGAAGAGATTGAAGGGTAAGATAGAAGTGAAACAC